GGGCCCTTTTCCAACTGCAGAACAGTCTAGAATTCCTTACCAGGAGGAGCCTGTTATTGGGGCCTCTGAGTTGGCAAAAGAAACGTATTCCGAAGTCACCCACATCCCTTCGAGGCCCCAACAACAACAGGATCAAAGCGACCCTTCAAAAGTCGAATTAGTTTAAAGTGACAAGCCACGATTACAACCCGAACATCATTCAACCAGAGGAACCAAGGTTCACCTCCCCTCAACATCTTTGCATCAGCTAATGCTGGTTCAGAGCCGCCGTTCTGTACATGGCAGCAGGTAATGTTCAAGGTGTTGGGGCACGGATTACATGTGGAAACAGTGAATACCATTTAGAGGAGCTAACAACCGAAGTCGCTCCGTGCCCCGTTCCGGGCCATTGGTGCACGGGTGTGCTGCAACAACAGCGAAGCATGGAATACTACTCAAGGAGCTTAAGATAGTTCAGGATTCCCGTGCCCCGGCTTGGTTGATCTCTTTTCCAGTAGGACAAGGACCTAAAGCAGCTGTATGCCCCAGAGCACCATGTTCTACCCATACTTCTCAAACCACAGCCTGCCATTAAAATATGGATCCGGGTGCTCTGCGGAGTTTGTCTCTACATCAGCTTGTGTTGGTGTGGTTCCTCCCTCAGCATCGGGAGATGCAGAGACCACTTCATTATTCTCTCCCGCTACAGCATCACTCACTGTTGACTGGGGCTCACATGCGACCGGGTTCACGAGCGGGCCTTCTACGCCATTCACCACGTCCATCTCATGCTCTGTGTGGTCGTCAGCGGGGTGTAGCAGGTTGAGTGTGTCTCTCCCTTGCAGGTCCTGTAGTACCTCGTCGGGGATGTCCGCCATCTGCGCGTCCATGGTCTCTTGCTCCATCAAGGTGAGTTGCTCGTGAAAGTAGGCCAGCAATCCTGTGCCTCCTACTTGAACAACTTGTTGTGGGGAGATCTCCCGACGCTGCCATCGGTCAAACAGCTCCCTCGTAGCAGGCTTGGTGATGTCATAGTAGCGGCGGGCCATGCTCGGCGTTCGTGGGGTCGTCGTGGAGGAGGCCGGTTCCTTGAGGATGTCAGGCACTTCGCTCTCGTGGACCGGGACATTGTTCTTGAACCACTGTCCTGGGAACGTTCTGGGCTCGGCCTTGATGTGGATCTGAACTTCTGTCCCTTTGTCCAGTTCCCACTCCCAGGCCCTCACTTTTTGTCCTGCCTCTATGCATACTCCCAGGCACATACGCGTTCTCGACCGGGTCTGCCGGAATTCCATGCTTGCTTGAAGAACAGCGTCGTCCAGTGCCTGGGCCTCCGCTGCTTTGACTTGCTCTTGGTGGCTTTCGGCCGCCTCCTCGAGGTGGCGGTAGTACTGCGCTTCCTGTGCCTCGTGGTGCGCCTGTTCCGCTTCTCTGGTGGCTGTCTCCTGGTCAGCGATCTTGTCCTCGATGTTCTGGAGCACCTCTTCCACGTCGTCATCCGTCACTTCCGGCTCCCCTTTTAGTCGCTTCCACCATATTGTGACCCACTGATGTTCCATCAGCAAGTGATCTCCTTCAGCAGCTGGAGGTGTCTCTTCGTTGACCGCTATGAGGAGGCTCTCCAGTAGCGCTCGGTCCACCATGAGGGGGCCGTCGTGGTCGGCCAGGAGGTTGGCCATCCTCAGTGCCCTGCTGCTCGCCGTTGTCGTTCTGAGCTGCATGAAGGCCCTGTGCAGCTTGTTCAGCAGGAGGTCCTCCTTTGTAGCCACCTGCTTGACACTCTTCTCTATCGTTGTTTGCATATGGGCTGTGTCATCCGTCTCGTCCGCTTCTTGGTAGGGGTCGACCTTGTCGTTGGAGCTTCCAGCCGTTCCCAGCCTGGCCCTGAGGTCTCGTGCTCTGCGGAGAGCTCTCGCGAAGTCCATCTGCAGCCTTCCCTGGAAAAGCAACAGCGTGTCGACGAGGAGGTCGTGCTCATGTTGAGGCCGATCCACCAGTGTGTCGACGATGTTGTCCGCTATGTGGGTGGGCAGCACCGGCGCATCGAGGATATTGATGTGCTCTTGTTGGTTCATCTCGAAGAGGGAGTGCCACACTGCAAGCGCATCCTCCTCTGTCATTTCTACTTCCACCTGTTCCTGTTCATCTTCTGGGTCAGTGACGATGTCCACGGTCTCGTGCGGGGTGTCGGTGGTCCCTCGTTGCGGTCTATCTCTGCATGTCCCCGGTCTAGCCTTTGGTTTGGGTGCCCGTTTCCCGGGCGGTGGGGATCTTGGAGGCGGCGGATGCGGTCGTTCTCGATCAGCCAGAGGAGGGTTGTTCTGCTTCTTCCACGGCGGCTGTCTGGGAATCAGTTTGCGGACTGATTCGCTCTTCTGCGATGGCGGTAGCTCACGCCATAGTCTGGTGGGGCTCATCTTGCGTTTATCCGGCCGCCATCCACCATCATCCATGAGCTGTACTGTGTCCCCCTCCTCTGTGTCATCGGAACCTGGGCGTTCTTCCTGTTGTATGGTTGTTGCCATGGGCATCCTGCTGTGGTACTTTGGCATGCTGACATAGCTGACCTGGTCCTCATTGTCATCCTGGATCATGTACTGCGCGTTCTCGGTGTCCATGTTCGGCTGGTTGTCTGTCTGGTTCATATCGCTGCTGCTGGAGTCTTCCTGGTCGTCCTGGATCACGTAATGCGCTTCTCGGGTGTCCACGTTCGGCTGGTTGTCTGTGTGGTTCCCATCGCTGTTGCTGGAGTGGCCGGGTCGATCTTCAACTGGCGAAGCGGCGATTGTGAGGTCCGTTTCGCTATTGTTGGTGTCTGGCCTGCTCCATGTGGAAGTTCCTGCAACGGTGTTGCAGACGTCTGCGATCTGCGCCCCCACTGTGCGCATCAACGGCGATGCCTCCATGGGTGTAGTCTGTGGCCTGTAGCCGCCCAGCGGTTCAGCGAGGTGGCGGAGTGTCTGCAGACTGCGGTCGCGGTCTCGTCCAGCATTTTCCGCGGTGAGGCGGTGGTGGGCATAGGCAAACGCCTCATTCATCTGCATTCCCTGTTCCCAGCATTGCCAGAACAGGTCGCTGAGCTTGGGCTCATTGCCCTTCTGCCATAGGGAGAGTTCTTCGTCCTCATGTCGTCCAGGGAGCTGCATCACGGTGTCGTGGGTCTCGTAGTACTCGTGGCGCTTGGTGTCGTGGGCGCTGGGAACCAGACGCCGGTCTGGGTCCTCTTCTTCGGATTGTTTCCACAGCCGCTTCTCTATGTCGTGGGTTTCGTCGTGCTCGTAGTGCTCGTAGTGCATGGTGTCGTAGTTGCGGGTTGGCTTGGGCTGTTCGTCTTCTTGAAGTAGCTGCTTGCCTTGTGTCGGCTGCAGGATCACGCCCCATATCCACCACTGGATGGTCATCACGAGCATCCAGAGGGTTCCCATTCCACAGGGCTTACAACTGCCTGTTCGCGGTAAATGTCACTTCACAATCAAAAGGCTGCGGATGCATTTCAGAAAACTGTGACAATTGTCATGTGCAGTCTCTCGTCGGTTTTGACACTGTACTTGGTTCGAACGCAGGGACGGGAAAGGGATCTTAGGGTAGTTTTTAGTTTATCAATGGCATCTCCATCACTCCTCAGCCGAAAGCTTCACCTTAGTGAGAGGGATGACATGTGCATAGTAGTGTGAAACGTCAGTACTGTACCTCAGTGCTACAAATTATTGTGAAGGCAGTGCAAGTTGCCTGCCTGAAGACCAGGGGACATCCATGGCCTGGACCCAAAATTCTTGTCGTTTTGCCCATGTCTGGGCATCCTGCGCCGTGCTTCGCCAGTCGTCGCTAACTGCTGCTCTATTCATGGCTTTTTCCTCATTCGTATGGTAGGGGTAGAATGCCTTAGGATGCGACATTCCTTGTCGTTTCTTTTCTGTCCACCACTGCAATGTGCGGCACAGATCCATGTAGGAGCTGGCAGGTGGCCGTTCCCTGTGGGCTGCTCGAGCGACATGCCCTTTATAGGACCAGAAGCGTTTTAGCCAAGTCGTTGACCACCTCTCTATCTGCTGCGCATGCATGACGTGCCTTGCACCTCGCATGGACCTGGTACGATAGTCTAGCCACGTTTCTTCTGTGCGTCGCCTGAACCCTATAGTCTTGGCAATCAACTCCACTTGAAGTGCATTCATACCACTGAGGGCCTGCCCTGTAGGGCAAATCGCCGAACTATACCAGAGTGCACTACCTCCTACCACGGCCTGGAACGTCTTCAGCTTTCCCTTTAGGGGGGCTCTTGCCAAAAAGATGTGCTTGTTCGCATAGAACTTCTTGGATGCCTTAGACATTGCAGTATCCATGAGGCCTGTGGGCTTTAGTGGTACCGCCAATGGGATCCCAAACACCGCGAGGCTTGCTGAAGGAACGATCGTTTGGCCATCAAGTATGATGGGTCCTGGGGTCGTGCTGTGCGGGGAGCAGTAGTACGAGGTTTTCTCCGGGTTGACTTTTAGCCCCCACTTGGCTAGCTCTTCTTTAAGGATACGGTACTTTGTGAGCAAGAAGTCACGGTTAGCTGCCCAAAGCAATGTATCGTCCATAAACAAGAGCTCAGCAAGAGGTATGTCGGGTGCTGCCGGTATGACTTTTGGCCAATCCTTGTTCTGCAATGCATCATAAAGAGCCATCTCAATTGCGATGGAGAACAAGAATGGGGACTCCACTGATCCCTGTCGTATTCCCCTGCCTTGGGGAATCTCCGCATCTCCCCATGGTGTCTTTATTACCGCTGTTCCTTCATAGAAGAGTCTCTCCCAACAGCGGTATTCCAGAAACATTTCTGGCGGCAGTCTGTCTCTCAGGAGCCGAAGCGTGCGATCCCTAGCTAATGTATCAAAAGCCTTTTGAATATCGATGCGGCACCAGCTGAGACCAAGGTGCCATTCGGTATCAAGACTGAAGGTTTTGACAGCTGCAAACAGGTAATCACATGTTTGGCGCCCATTGTGTGCACACTGGGCTGGACCTACCGGAGCAATATATCTTCTGGTACGCATCAGTAGCATGGTGCCAAAAATCTTGGCAGCTGAGGCTCCCACGCTGATCGGGCGGAGGTCCTTCGGCCCTCTCGGCTTGTCTGTCTTAGGTAGTAGGGTAACAACGGTACGCAACCATTGTTTTGGGAGTTCCTCCCCGCACCTTAGTCGTTCCATCCACTCCAGGAAAGCCCATTCAGTGGTTTCATCTTCGCACAGGGACTGGATCAGCTCATAAGGGACCACATCTTCCCCTACGGCTTTATTCTTCCTTCCTCTCAGGATTGCCTCTCTCAGGTCTTCAAGGGTGAAGTGATTCCCGGTGTCAATGTCCTTATTCCATCTTGGTGGCTGTCGCGCCTCAGGTGCTTGAAACAAGGCTCTAAAGTGTTCGATAGTCCATCTTTTAGGGTCTTTGTTAGCCGCCTCGGCTGCCTCCACGTAATGCACCGTCCATTCATGGCCGGAAGATGGCTTAAGTGCATTGAAGCTCTGCCAATGTCCAGATGCAGCTCTCTCGTTCCTCTCACTTCTCCATTCCTCCTGGGCGCCGCGTCGGGCCTTGTGCGCTGTCTTCCAGTCCCTCTCCCTGCCACTTTGTTTTGCTGCTCTGTACAGGTCTTTGACATGTTTCGGATCTCTGTATCGCAGCCCTGGTTTGGGTTTGGTACATGTCTGTGCCAAATGCTGGAGCAAGGGTTGATTCATTACATCCGTCGGAGGGGGTTTTCTGCACACATATCGGGGACCTGTAGCTGTCCTGGGTGGCGCTTCTAGGTCTCCACTGCGGAGCAGTAGCTCGCAAGCGATCCTTTCGTGGTCTCCCCCAATCTGCTTGTAACTGTCCACCTCGATGTTTACCGGAGTGATGCGTGCATGTTTGTGTGCAATACCATCAATTTGATGGCCTCTTACCCTGGCTCTCCTAGGTCTGCTAGTCGGCACATCCCATTGAAGCTTGATGGGGGCTTTCATGCACAAACCACAACTGCCCAGTTCTGACAGCACGTACTCCGATCTGGCCTCAGTGGGGAGAAGGTCCCCTTGTGTATCCAGGGCATCTGTCCACTTGAGCTTCGTATTGAAGTCTCCCATCAGGATGACAGGCAGAAGAGTAGCTGGGAGAATTTTACAGACCTCCTGCAACTCGTCTGCAGTAACGTCACTGGTAACCCCAGTACTCAACCGAAGACTGCCTATCCAAATCTCACTAGACGAGGGGAGGTGTCTGAGTCGCAGCCACATTCCGAAACGGCACCCTCTGCGCCGGAGTACCTGAAAATCTGAGCCGTAGGCAATTGCGTTGCCCCTCCATTGGCGATCATCATGCCGGTATTGGACCACCGTTAGGTCCTCTATCACCTCGGTATGCCAGCCAACCTCTCGTCTCGGCATCTCCTGGATGCTGAGGATTTGCGGCTTTGTCTCCATTGCACGTCGGGTAGACTGTACAGCATCGGACGGACTCGTGCCGCCGATATTCCAGCATGCTAGAGGGATCTTTGTGTATGGTTGCAGATCTGGCATCAGGGTCCTTGGGTGCCTTTTGGCATCATCCTGGGACCCGGAAGCTTTCTGCCTTCCCGACATTTCGTCAGCAGGGCTTGTAGACAAGATATTGATGGGGGCAGGATCATCGAAAAGTACACCCTCTCGGTGCGACGAAAGTGAACGATGTTCGGTGTTTAAATGTTTAGTTTGGCCTAAGTGTTCCGAACTTGTTGCCGGCTTTTGGGCAACACTATTCAGGCAAGGTTCGGCCAGCAGTGCAGATTGTTGTCCGGGTAGGACCTGTTCTGAAAGGTTCAAGCTAAGTTTAGCCTGATGGGTCTTGCTACGGTCATCGACCAATTCCAGCTCAGCTTCGCTCAGCGGGTCTCAGAGTGCCATGAGATCGCTCCACTGTTGTGCAATCTCGCCTTCCGTGATCTTGAGCATCGTCGCCAGCATTGGGATATCCAGCCAGCTTCTTTCCGGTTTCCCAGGTGTGCAGTTGACATGCGGCCGCATGCGGGTAGCACTGGCCACTAACTTGGAATGGAACCACACGTTGCCTGCCGAGTATTCGGTCTCCACAAATGCCTGGCTGTTTGGCGATATAGTGAGAATAAGCCGCTTGGTCTTTCCAGTGTGGTTGGAGATCAGCCGTTCGTACTTGGATTTCCCAAGGGTCGCCTTAAGGATACGATTTGTCTCCATACTGGGGGCGCAAAGAGCAGCGCGCTGAATCTGTTGTGCGATGGTAATCATTCGCCTCTTAATCTGGGATCCCGATTCACTCGCTTGCATAGTTACAAAGGCCATGGCGAACCCTCGTCTAGGGCCCGTGCAGAACACATCCTCAAAGGACTCTTCAAGACCCAGCTGCTTTAGGCAATCTCTGAGTTCTGTCAGAAGCGTCTCTTTCTGCGTATCCTGGGGCCATCCGCCCAGGATGAGCAGGTTGGGTCGCTCCACGTCCGATGTTGTTGTAGCAAGGGAAGCTGGTCCTCGTAGCTCCAGATGTTTCATTCTTTCCTCAAGCTTCTCCTGATTCTCTCTGAGTTGATCAATGTAGTCCCCATGCTTTCGCACGTCCTTCTTGATGCTGCCCAGTTCTTTAAATGTCGCAGTTTTGAGGTCCATCAAGTCCTGCTGGTGGCTGTCCGTCAAGGATCTTGTTTGTTCCTGCAGAAGTCCGCGAATAGCGTCGAGAGTAATCTGTTGGCCTTGGGGATCTCCCCTTGCCCGGGTAGGGGAAGGAGCCCCTTGGTCGTTCACCCTCTTGGCTCCTGGGCGTCTGCTATCAGCACCTTCGTCAACTGCCATGTGCTGTGCTTTGCCGAGCAGAGGATCTCGTAGGGGGTCTGGCACATCACCCGGTGGTAGTGGTGTGTTCATAGGGCTGGCTTTTGGCCTGGTGGCATTGTCTACCACATCCGTCATCCTTGTTCTGCAAGCACCGTAGGCAAAGGTGGATGTCTCCGCTGTGCACCTCCGATCGAAGAGCGGGCCACTAGGATCCTGCCCACCAGGTGGGACTTTCCAGAGATGCCTGTTCTTCAAAGGTTTATCGACTCGAAGATGCGGAGGCCCCCAGACACCAAAGGATATCTCTATATTCTTCGGTCTCTCAGTCTCGCCCATACACCACTCCCCAGTCGATCAGTTCAGCGAAGGTTTGTTGCAGCAAAGAAGGTCTATGTATCTCACGAAGAAGCGGGGGGGGAAAGGGCAACGCGCCCCGAGCTTTGAGTCTTGAGCCTTGA